GAAGGTTGGATTTCGGTTAGCCAAATTTCTCTGATTTGGCTTTGCCGGTGTTAGGTGTGTCGGCCCTGCACTAGCTCCTTGTCTTCCGGTGTTTGGTTCTTCCGTTCCACCCACCCAGGTGGAAGGACCAGGCGTCGGGGGCTAATGCAGTCGGTTTAATGGTGGCTATAAGTGGGTGCGATGGTTGGCTACGGTTTTTGGTGGCGTTTGAAATGCCGGTTGTTGGGATGCCTGCATTTCGAACGGGGATGGTTGGCCAGTTCGTCCTCGCCGAGTCGACTCACGGATGGTTGGATTTCGGTTAGCCAAATTTTGTTAATTTGGCTCGGTGTGCCGATGTTAGGTGTGTTGGCCCTACTTTAGTTCCTTCCCATTCGGCGTTTGGTTCTTCCATTGCACCCACCCAGGTGGAAGGACAAGGCGTCGGGGGCTAGTGCAGTCGGTTTTAGGTTGGCTCTAAGTGGGTGGGACGGTTGGCTACGGTTTTCTTCGGTCTTGCACGGCACTCATCGACGCGACTGTCATGGGCACCAGGCATTCGCCGGTGGGCTGACTGCTGAGTTAAAAACTTGGCCTTTGGTCTGTTGGTGGGTTGTGCGGTGTGTATGAAGTTTGCGATGCGTAATTGTGTGTGAGATGTATTTGGTTTTCATGGTCAGGTTTGATCCTTGCTGTAGCAGCGAAAACTTGCCGTGAAAGCCTTTTCAATTTGGTGGGTTCCGCCTTTGTCTGAAATGGTTTCCTTTGTTCTGTACCCTTTCGGTGGCATCCTTACGTTCCAACTGCTGAGTTCTGTCGTGTGCCTGCTCGTGTGGGAACCAAAGGGTTGGCATACGATTGACGCCATGGCACCGCTTGTGGTACACTATCTGTTGTCTCTTTTCTGGAAAGTTTTGGCCCATTGGTTGTTGTTGAGTACTCGGGTTTGGTGCAGTAACGGGGACTGGTTAAGAATTCTCTGTTAGCCTAAGTCTGCCCATTAAGTATTTTGTTCCAGGGTTCCCTGGTTCATTATTGGCTTCACCTTCACTTCTGTGATTGTGTTTTCCTCCGTATGACCGCCCATGATGTGTTGAGTTCGCTTTCGGTTTTGGCGTGTCAAGGTGCATTGAGGAATGATACCTGGTTGATCCTGCCAGTAGTCATATGCTTGTCTCAAAGGTTAAGCCATGCATGTGTAAGTATGAACAAATTCAGACTGTGAAACTGCGAATGGCTCATTAAATCAGTAATAGTTTGTTTGATGGTACCTACTACTCGGATAACCGTAGTAAATCTAGAGCTAATACGTGCAACAAGTCCCAACTCTTGGAAGGGATGCATTTATTAGATAAAAGGTCAATGCGGGTTTTTCCCGTTTTTACGATGATTCATGATAACTTGACGGATCGCAAGGCCATAGTGCTGGCGACGCATCATTCAAATTTCTGCCCTATCAACTTTCGATGGTAGGATAGTGGCCTACCATGGTGGTGACGGGTGACGGAGAATTAGGGTTCGATTCCGGAGAGGGAGCCTGAGAAACGGCTACCACATCCAAGGAAGGCAGCAGGCGCGCAAATTACCCAATCCTGACACGGGGAGGTAGTGACAATAAATAACAATACTGGGCTCATTCGAGTCTGGTAATTGGAATGAGTACAATCCAAATCCCTCAACGAGGATCCATTGGAGGGCAAGTCTGGTGCCAGCAGCCGCGGTAATTCCAGCTCCAATAGCGTATATTTAAGTTGTTGCAGTTAAAAAGCTCGTAGTTGGACTTTGAGATGGGTTTGCCGGTCCGCCTCATGGTGTGCATCGTTGAACTTGTCTCTATTGCTGGTGATGTGCTCCTGGTCTTAATTGGTCGGGTCATGCCTCCAGTGCTGTTACTTTGAAGAAATTAGAGTGCTCAAAGCAAGCCTACGCTCTGTATACATTAGCATGGGATAACATTATAGGATTTCGATCCTATTACGTTGGCCTTCGGGATCGGAGTAATGATTAACAGGGACAGTCGGGGGCATTTGTATTTCATAGTCAGAGGTGAAATTCTTGGATTTATGAAAGACGAACAACTGCGAAAGCATTTNCCAAGGATGTTTTCATTAATCAAGAACGAAAGTTGGGGGCTCGAAGACGATCAGATACCGTCCTAGTCTCAACCATAAACGATGCCGACTAGGGATCGGTGGATGTTGCTTTTAGGACTCTACCGGCACCTTATGAGAAATCAAAGACTTTGGGTTCTGGGGGGAGTATGGTCGCAAGGCTGAAACTTAAAGGAATTGACGGAAGGGCACCACCAGGAGTGGAGCCTGCGGCTTAATTTGACTCAACACGGGGAAATTTACCAGGTCCAGACATAGTAAGGATTGACAAATTGAGAGCTCTTTCAAGGGGTAAAATGTAAATTATTATTACCCTAATCAGAACGGTACATCAATGTCAAATGCTGAACCATAAAAATGGTTCCATGCATGTATAAGACAATTACAACACAAGCCCAAACGGGTAACAAACAAACAACAATACAATCAACAATACAAACTTGGCACGCAGGCCATACAAAATAGACATCCAAAACAAAGTCAACAATGTGGTCCGGGTCGTCCAGGCTCTTGTGGGCTCAACCTCCAGCTTCCAGTACCATGCACCATCACGGCAAGTAGCAAAACAAGAGCAAGGAGGGAGTATCTAATGGGAGTACCAACAAAGTCCAACCATAAATACTCCCTCCTCAAGGATCAGGTATCGCAAACAATCTCTCAAGGTGAGCAAGAGTACGTCAATATTCAGTTCAAAATGTTTTTCATTAATGGTTGCATCCAACAAAAGCAAGAGTTAAGTTATTCTTGCCATAGTCACCGTAAGCAAGCCAAGGGCCAAGCCTCAAGTACAAGAAGTTGTCCACCATCGTCAAGGAGGACAACTTTGAGAGCTCTTTCAAGGGTAAAATATAAATTATTATTACCCACTCAAACATGTACACCAATGTTATATGCTTAACCATCAACATGGTTATCACATAAATACAGTATTACAACGCTAAATAATCAACATACAAACAACGGGGAGCTACAAACATCTATTACAGAGGTTACAATCATGCTTAAACAATTCCCTTCGAAGAGCATCTCTTCTACAACACAGGGCCAGAAAGACAGGCAATAGGAACATATCGAAGCATTCATGTTCATCATCAGGTCCAGGCTTATTCATTTCCCTTCAAAGAGGCAACCTCTTCTACAACACAGGGAAGCCAGCAACCAGGCAAGAGCAGCAAATCAAAGCTTAAAGTTTCCATTATCACGTCACAGAAGTCACATCATCATTCAGTTGTTAGAGTAACCAGTTTGGGGGTTAAGCAAAAAATAGCGGTGTACAGGTTGATCAACAAAGGAGGCCAGGCAGTGTTGGCTCTCTTAGGCAGTGTGCTCAGTTGGTGTTCTCCACAGGTGCATCCAGGTCCATCAAGGCAAGTCCAATATATCAAGGCTGAGATATCTCATATATCCATGAGTGTCATCAGTATCCAGATCCAAGTCTCAATCAGAAGAAAGCCAGTTTCAAGTCATTAATTCCCTCAAGACAGTCAGCAAAGCTCAATGCATATTACCAAGGTTCATCTAAAATCTCTAACAGCAACAGCAAGTACATCAATTGTTCAACAGTGATATGTGCAAGTGCAAAGGCAATAAATTCTCCCAAATCCATTATGTCATCAAACCATCAATCATCAGTAACCAACTCAAGCAGAGCAGTGGAACCAGGCCAAATTACCCTGACCCAGACAAAGGAAGCTGGGTGAGTTTATTTTGGTCTGTTTCCAAGAAAACAAGCAGAGAAGAGAGGAGGAAAGAAGAAAAGAAAGAAAGAGAGGAGGGAAAAGGAAAAGGGAAAACCAGGACCCAAAGGTACCTCTACTTATCCAAAAGGGGTAAGTAGAGGTAACTATGTTTCCTCACAGCCCACCCAGCCCCAAAAGCCCCAGGATTCAAGTTATTCTAAATTATCCACATCACAAAGACCTGATGAGGTTAATTTGAATAACCTGTTTCCAAGAAGAAGGAGGGAGTGAGAGACAAAAGAAAGGAGGAAGGAGAAAGGAGGGGAAGAATGGGGAAAGGGGGGAAAGGAAGAAGGAAAAAGAACTGAGGACAAGCCCCACCAAGACCCAACTCTATCACTAAATATCCAGAAGGGGTATTAAGAGATAGAACTGTTTCTACCACCCCAAAGGAAGGACAAAGGAAAGAACCCCTGGCCCCCCATCAAGGTAAACCCTCCCTGGACCTAGACCATACACTAGTCATCCTTAAGAATAAAGATGACTATGGTTTGGTCTATTTCCACCCCAAGCCCCAAAAACAGAAGTAAAGATAGCCTCAACCAGGAATTCCAAGAACAGTTATCAGTGGGAAACCCTCCAGGGCCTCTCAGCACACAACCCATTAAAACCAGCCTTAACCAGCTCCTCCACCAAACAAGATTCTGGGGTTGCTAGGAAAGAGTTTGTACATAACTTTGTACACACTGAGTTTCACATGTTGAATGACTTGTTGGATATCCACCTCTTTATGCTCAAAGTAAACACTATTCCTTAGTTTCCAGATATGATAAATAGTGCTAAGGGTTCCCACTCTACAAATCTTCTTTCTGTTAGAGTGCATTGTGTGCTGCCTTCTCAGCCATTTGATTGCACGTATCAAAGTTGATAAGGATGCATCAATGTTGAGCCAAGTTTTGATTCCATTCCAGATCTGGGCAGAAATGTGACAAGAGAAGAATAGGTGTTCAGTGGTTTCCATTTCCATATGGCAGAGTGTGCAGTTCCTGTTTTCCATTTCTACATAAGCAAGATTAACCTTTGTGGGGAGGCGCCCACGCATGGCTATCCATGTAGTAAATGAAAACCTTGGAGGAATATAAGTCTGCCATATAAATTTCATCCATGGCTTTGCTTGGTTCCTGGTTCTGATGAGGTCATAAATCTTTGAAGTATTCAAGCTGCCATTATCACAGAAGGACTGGAAATAATCTTCAATCTCTTGGGCATCCCCACACTTGTCAATCATAATACCCCTGACATAGGACAACCTTTTGAGAGCTCTTTCAAGATTATATGGGTGGTGGTGCATGGCCGTTCTTAGTTGGTGGAGCGATTTGTCTGGTTAATTCCGTTAACGAACGAGACCTCAGCCTGCTAACTAGCTATGCGAAGGTATCCCTTCGTGGCCAGCTTCTTAGAGGGACTACGGCCTCTTAGGCCGCGGAAGTTTGAGGCAATAACAGGTCTGTGATGCCCTTAGATGTTCTGGGCCGCACGCGCGCTACACTGATGTATTCAATGAGCGTATAGCCTTGGCCGATAGGTTCGGGTAATCTTTGAAATTTCATCGTGATGGGGATAGATCATTGCAATTGTTGGTCTTCAACGAGGAATTCCTAGTAAGCGTGAGTCATCAGCTCGCGTTGACTACGTCCCTGCCCTTTGTACACACCGCCCGTCGCTCCTACCGATTGAATGATCCGGTGAAGTGTTCGGATCGTGGTGATGTGGGCGGTTTGCTGCCCGTGACGTTGCGAGAAGTCCATTGAACCTTATCATTTAGAGGAAGGAGAAGTCGTAACAAGGTTTCCGTAGGTGAACCTGCGGAAGGATCATTGTCGAACCCTCGCGGTAGAATGACTTGCCAACCTGTACCAATTATTGATTCGAGTGTCGGGGTGCTGTCTTTCTGATTTGCCCAGACGAACAAAAACACCGGCGCAGCAGCGCCAAGGAATATAATAATGAGTGTGCAACCTTGCAGAGCTCAATTATGTTGCCTGTGAGCTTCGCATCCTTTTAATAAAAATGACTCTCGGCAATGGATATCTCGGCTCTTGCATCGATGAAGAACGTAGCGAAATGCGATAC